TTATAGCAATTTCAGACTCTCATCAGCATGTGTGAGCCAGAAAATACAGTATAACGTCCAATATAGTTTGTGTTTCCCAAAACAGATGTGTTGTGACTTCTGTCTTCTCAGATATTCACATTCAAAGCTCCAGAATGGTGTTCCCCAAAACATAGAAAAACAACATAGTGTAATTGTTAAGGTAAAGGGTATTCCACCTTGGGATCATGTGCAAAGCTGTATGTCTTAAATAGAGATGAGCGAATCGAAGTAGGCGAAGTGGAATTCGTTTCGAATATTAGGAAAATTTCGATTCGCGTCGAATCTGAAAATAAGCAGACTTCGGATGCGCGAATCGAAATTTTTCCTAAAATGGCGGCGACATGTGCGGCGACGGAGCGGGGATGTCTGGGGAAGGCGCGCAGACAAGGCGCGCTGACCCATAATGCATTCATTCATGACATGTGATCGCATTAGCCAATCAGCAGCCAGCCAGCCAGCACAGTGTAATGGTCGAGCTATAAATGGCGGCCATTTTAGAATTCTCCATTTGCCTCCAGTCATTCAACAGAGGCAGACCTGTCTGTATTCAGGGAGAGAGTTAGGGACACAGAAACGTTACTTAGGGACACAGAAATGTTAGTTAGGGACACAGAATCGTTACTTAGGGGACACCGAAATGTTACTTAGGGCCACAGAAACGTTACTTAGGGCCACAGAAATCGTTAGTTAGGGCCACAGAAACGTTACTTAGGGACACAGAATTGTTACTCAGGGACAGACAGAATTGTTACTGAGGGATACAGAATTGTTACTGAGGGCCACAGAATCGTTACTTAGGGCCACAGAAACGTTACTTAGGGCCACAGAATTGTTACTTAGGGACAGACACAGAATTGTTACTGAGGGACACAGATTTGTTACTGAGGGCCACAGAATCGTTACTTAGGGCCACAGAAACGTTACTTAGGGCCACAGAAACGTTACTTAGGGCCACAGAATTGTTACTTAGGGACACAGAATTTGAGGGCCACAGACACAGAATTGTTACTGAGGGACAGACACAGATTTGTTACTGAGGGGGCCACAGAAACGTTACTTAGGGCCACAGAAACGTTACTTAGGGCCACAGAATCGTTAGTTAGGGCCACAGAAACGTTACTTAGGGACACAGAATTGTTACTCAGGGACAGACACAGAATTGTTACTGAGGGATACAGAATTGTTACTGAGGGCCACAGAATCGTTACTTAGGGCCACAGAAACGTTACTTAGGGCCACAGAAACGTTACTTAGGGACACAGAATTGTTACTTAGGGACAGACACAGAATTGTTATTGAGGGACACAGAATTGTTACTGAGGGCCACAGAACCGTTACTTAGGGCCACAGAAACGTTACTTAGGGCCACAGAATTGTTACTTAGGGACACAGACACAGAATTGTTACTGAGGGACACAGAATTGTTACTGAGGGCCACAGAAACGTTACTTAGGGGCCACAGAAACGTTACTTAGGGCCACAGAATCGTTACTTAGGGCCACAGAAACGTTACTTAGGGCCACAGAAATTGTTACTTAGGGACAGACACAGAATTGTTACTTGAGGGACACAGAATTGTTACTGAGGGCCACAGAAACCGTTACTTAGGGCCACAGAAACAGAATTGTTACTTAGGGCCACAGAATTGTTACTTAGGGACAGACACAGAATTGTTACTGAGGGACACAGAATTGTTACTGAGGGCCACAGAATCGTTACTTAGGGCCACAGAAAACGTTACTTAGGGCCACAGAAACGTTACTTAGGGCCACAGAATTGTTACTTAGGGACAGACACAGAATTGTTACTTGAGGGACACAGAATTGTTACTGAGGGCCACAGAACCGTTACTTAGGGCCACAGAAAAACGTTACTTAGGGCCACAGAAACGTTACTTAGGGCCACAGAATTGTTACTGAGGGACACAGATTTGTTACTGAGGGCCACAGAAACGTTACTTAGGGCCACAGAAACGTTACTTAGGGGCCACAGAATTGTTACTTAGGGCCACAGAAACGTTACTTAGGGCCACAGAAATGTTACTTAGGGCCACAGAATTGTTACTTAGGGAAGTTACTTAGGGCCACAGAATTGTTACTGAGGGACACAGATTTTGTTACTGAGGGCCACAGAAACGTTACTTAGGGCCACAGAAACGTTACTTAGGGCCACAGAATCGTTACTTAGGGCCACAGAAACGTTACTTAGGGCACACAGAATTGTTACTTAGGGACAGGACACAGAATTGTTACTTAGGGACACAGAATTGTTACTGAGGGCCACAGAAACGTTACTTAGGGCCACAGAAACGTTACTTAGGGCCACAGAATCGTTACTTAGGGCCACAGAAACGTTACTTAGGGCCACAGAATTTTACTTAGGGACAGACACAGAATTGTTACTTAGGGACACAGAATTGTTACTTAGGGCCACAGAACCGTTACTTAGGGCCACAGAAACGTTACTTAGGGCCACACAGAATTGTTACTTAGGGACCACAGAAACGTTACTTAGGGCCACAGAAAACGTTACTTAGGGCCACAGAATTGTTACTTAGGGACAGAAATTGTTTACTCACAGAATTGTTACTGAGGGACACAGAATTGTTACTGAGGGCCACAGAATTGTTACTGAGGGCCACAGAAACGTTACTTAGGGCCACAGAATTGTTACTTAGGGCCACAGAAAAACGTTACTTAGGGCCACAGAATTGTTACTTAGGGACAGACACAGAATTGTTACTGAGGGACACAGAATTGTTACTGAGGGCCACAGAAATTTTACTTAGGGCCACAGAAAGAAACGTTACTTAGGGCCACAGAATTGTTACTTAGGGACAGACACAGAATTGTTACTGAGGGACACAGAACAGAATTGAATTACTTGAGGGACACAGAATTGTTACTGAGGGCACAGAATTGTTACAGAAGAAACGTTACTTAGGGCCACAGAAACGTTACTTAGGGTTACTTAGGGCCACAGAATTGTTACTTAGGGCCACAGAAACGTTACTTAGGGCCACACAGAAACGTTACTTAGGGCCACAGAATTGTTACTTAGGGGACACAGAATTGTTACTTGGGACAGACACAGAATTGTTACTGAGGGACACAGAATTGTTACTTACAGGGACCACAGAATTGTTACTTAGGGCCACAGAAACGTTACTTAGGGCCACAGAAACGTTACTTTAGGGCCACAGAATTGTTACTTAGGGACAGACACAGAATTGTTACTGAGGGACACAGAATTGTTACTGAGGGCCACAGAAACGTTACTGAGGGCCACAGAATTGTTACTTAGGGCCACAGAATTGTTACTTAGGGCCACAGAATTGTTACTTAGGGGACACAGAATTGTTACTTAGGGCCACAGAATTGTTACTTAGGGCCACAGAAACGTTACTTAGGGCCACACAGAATCGTTACTTAGGGCCACAGAAATTGTTACTTAGGGCCACACAGAAACGTTACTTAGGGCCACAGAATTGTTACTCAGGGACAGACACAGAATTGTTACTCAGGGACAGACACAGAATTGTTACTCAGGGACACAGAATTGTTACTGAGGGACACAGAATTGTTACTGAGGGACACAGAATTGTTACTCAGGGGGACACACAGAATTGTTACTGAGGGACACAGAATTGTTACTGAGGGACACAGACATTGTTACTCAGGGACAGACAGAATTGTTACTGGGACAGACACAGAATTGTTACTGAGGGACACAGAATTGTTACTGAGGGCCACAGAAACGTTACTTAGGGCACACAGAATTGTTACTCAGGGACACACAGAATTGTTACTCAGGGACAGACACAGAATTGTTACTGAGGGACACAGAATTGTTACTGAGGGACACAGAATTGTTACTGAGGGACACAGAATTGTTACTGAGGGACACAGAATTGTTACTCAGGGACAGACACAGAATTGTTACTGAGGACACAGAATTGTTACTGAGGGCCACAGAACTGTTACTTAGGGCACAGAATTGTTACTCAGGGACACAGAATTGTTACTCAGGGACAGACACAGAATTGTTACTGAGGACAGGACACAGAATTGTTACTGAGGGACACAGAATTGTTACTGAGGGACACAGAATTGTTACTGAGGGCCACAGAACTGTTACTTAGGGCCACAGAAACTCACTCAGGGACACAGAATTGTTACTCAGGGACAGACACAGAATTGTTACTCAGGGACACACAGAGAATCGTTTCAGGGGACAGAGTATGTCAGCAAACAGCAGAGGAGTGGCAGAGGAGGCAATGTTTTAGGAGGAGCAGCAGACGTGGCAGCAGAGGAAGGGGTCGAGGCAGCACTATTCGCAGCCAGAGGCCAGTGCTCCCGGTGTCATCCAGTACAGTGAGGAAGAGCTAACAGAGGGCGGTCAGGAACGGGGGGAGACATCCGCCTCTTCAGCAGCCAGGCGAAGAAAGTAGTGGCGAGGAGAGTGGCTCGGTAGCCGTCTAGAGACAGGTCTGTCTCCTGACCCACACGCAGCCTCAGAGGGGGGCTAGTAGTGAGGCGGAGACCCTAATTGATGATGATGAGGCTGATCGCACTTGGCAGCCTCGTCGTCATCAGGCTATTGCTTCCGCATCATCAGGAGAAGAGGGTGGCAGCTTGGCAGCGAGCAAAACAGTCGGTGGGTTGTCTCCATCGCCACACTCTGCCATGTGCCACTTTCAGGTCTCCTCACACACTGCTGGTGTGTTCCATTTTTTGTCATAGGGTGCTGGCAGATTACGGGCCTCCCATAGCTGCTGCCAGGCCCCTAATCTGCCATGGGCCCCTGTACCGCCTCCTCATGCTGCTGCCAGGTCCACAGTGTCTCATGCCATGTGCCACTTTCAGGTCTCCTCACACTGCTGGTGTGTTCAATTTTTTGTCATAGGGTGCTGGCAGATTACGGGCCTCCCATAGCTGCTGCCAGGCCCCTAATCTGCCATGGGCCCCTATACCGCCTCCTCATGCTGCTGCGCCAGGTCCAGAGTCTCTCATGGGTCCCTGTACGGCCTCCCATTGCTGCTGTCTCCATCGCCACACTCTGCCATGTGCCACTTTCAGGTCTCCTCACACACTGCTGGTGTGTTGTTCATTTTTTGACATAGGGTGCTGGCAGATTACGGGCCTCCCATAGCTGCTGCCAGGCCCCTAATCTGCCATGGGCCCCTGTACCGCCTCCTCATGCTGCTGCCAGGGTCCACAGTGTCTCATGGGTCCATGTGCCTCCCATTGCTGCTGTCTCCATCTCCCACACTCTGCACCACTTTCAGGTCTCCTCACACTGCTGTGTGTTCAATTTTTTTGTCATAGGGTGCTGGCAGATTACGGGCCTCCCATAGCTGCTGCCAGGCCCCTAATCTGCCATGGGCCCCTGTACCGCCTCCCTCATGCTGCTGCCAGGTCCAGAGTGTCTCATGGGTCCCTGTACGGCCTCCTCATTGCTGCTGTCTCCATCGCCACACTCTGCCATGTGCCACTTTCAGGTCTCCTCACACTGCTGGTGTGTTCAATTTTTTGTCATAGGGTGCTGGCAGATTACGGGCCTCCCATAGCTGCTGCCAGGCCCCTAATCTGCCATGGGCCCCTATACCGCCTCCTCATGCTGCTGCCCAGGTCCAGAGTGTCTCATGGGTCCCTGTACGGCCTCCCATTGCTGCTGTCTCCATCGCCACACTCTGCCATGTGCCACTTTCAGGTCTCCTCACACACTGCTGGTGTGTTCAATTTTTTGTCATAGGGTGCTGGCAGATTACGGGCCTTCCATAGCTGCTGCCAGGCCCCTAATCTGCCATGGGCCCCTGTACTGCCTCCTCATGCTGCTGCCAGGTCCACAGTGTCTCATCGCCATGCCATGTGCCACTTTCAGGTCTCCTCACACTGCTGGTGTTTGTGTGTTCAATTTTTTGTCATAGGGTGCTGGCAGATTACGGGCCTCCCATAGCTGCTGCCAGGCCCCTAATCTGCCATGGGCCCCTGTACCCGCCTCCTCATGCTGCTGCCAGGTCCACAGAGTCTCATGGGTCCCTGTACGGCCTCCCATTGCTGCTGTCTCCATCGCCACACTCTGCCATGTGCCACTTTCAGGTCTCCTCACACACACTGCTGGTGTGTTCAATTTTTTGACATAGGGTGCTGGCAGATTACGGGCCTCCCATAGCTGCTGCCAGGCCCCTAATCTGCCATGGGCCCCTGTACCGCCTCCTCATGCTGCTGCCAGGTCCACAGTGTCTCATGCCATGTGCCCTTTACAGGTCTCCTCCTCACACTGCTGGTGTGTTCCATTTTTTGTCATAGGGTGCTGGCAGATTACGGGCCTCCCATAGCTGCTGCCAGGCCCCTAATCTGCCATGGGCCCCTGTACCGCCTAGGTGCGGACTCATGCTGCTGTCCCAGGCCACAGTGTCTCATGCCATGTGCCACTTTCAGGTCTCCTCACACTGCTGGTGTGTTCAATTTTTTGTCATAGGGTGCTGGCAGATTACGGGCCTCCCATAGCTGCTGCCAGGCCCCTAATCTGCCATGGGCCCCTGTACCGCCTCCTCCTCATGCTGCTGCCAGGTCCACAGTGTCTCATGCCATACGTGCCACTTTCCATCGCCAGGTCTCCTCACTTTCAGGTCTGGTGTGTTCCATTTTTTGTCATAGGGTGCTGGCAGATTACGGGCCTCCCATAGCTGCTGCCAGGCCCCTAATCTGCCATGGGCCCCTATAACCGCCTCCTCATGCTGCTGCCAGGTCCAGAGTCTCTCATGGGTCCCTGTACGGCCTCCCATTGCTGCTGTCTCATCGCCACACTCTGCCATGTGCCACTTTCAGGTCTCCTCACACTGCTGGTGTGTGTTCCATTTTTTTGTCATAGGGTGCTGGCAGATTACGGGCCTCCCATAGCTGCTGCCAGGCCCCTAATCTGCCATGGGCCCCTCTATACCGCCTCCTCATGCTGCTGCCAGGTCCAGAGTCTCTCATGGGGTCCCTGTACGGCCTCCCATTGCTGCTGCGTCTCCATCGCCACACTCTGCCATGTGCCACTTTCAGGTCTCCTCACACTGCTGGTGTGTTCCATTTTTTGTCATAGGGTGCTGGCAGATTACGGGCCTCCCATAGCTGCTGCCAGGCCCCTAATCTGCCATGGGCCCTGTACCGCCTCCTCATGCTGCTGCCTGGTCCACAGTGTCTCATGCCATGCTCTGCCCACTTTCAGGTCTCCTCACACTGCTGGTGGTGTGTTCAATTTTTTTTGTCATAGGGTGCTGGCAGATTACGGGCCTCCCATAGCTGCTGCCAGGCCCCTAATCTGCCATGGGCCCCTTTACCACCTCCTCATGCTGTGCTGCCAGGTCCAGAGTCTCTCATGGGTCCCTGTACGGCCTCCCATTGCTGCTGTCTCCATCGCCACACTCTGCCATGTGCCACTTTCAGGTCTCCTCACACACTGCTGGTGTGTTCCATTTTTTGTCATAGGGTGCTGGCAGATTACGGGCCTCCCATTGCTGCTGCCAGGCCCGTAATCTGCCATGGGCCCTCGTACTGACTCCTCATGCTGCTGCCAGGCCCGTAATCTGTCATGGGCCCCTGTTGTCGCTTGTTGGCATATTCCGCTCGTTCAGATGCTCCTTCTCCTGCTACTCCTCTTCACGGATTCCGTCAGCAGTCTTTCTTGGAATCCATTTCCAAGAGACAACAGTTTGCGAGCACGCATCCGACGGTGCAGAAGCTGAACGTCCTCCTGTCCAAGTTGCTGCTGCGCCAGGCTCGTAATCTGTCATGCGCCCCTGTACCGCCTCCTCATGCTGCTGCCAGGTCCAGAGTGTGTCATGGGCCCCCGTACCGACTCCTCATGCTGCTGCCAGGCCCGTAATCTGTTATGGGCCCCTGTACCACCTCCTCATGCTGCTGCCAGGTCCAGGAGTGTGTCATGGGTCCCTGTACGGCCTCCCATTGCTGCTGCCAGGCCCGTAATCTGCCATGGGCCCCCGTACCAACTCCTCATGCTGCTGCTGCCAGGCCCGTAATCTGTCATGGGCCCCTGTACCGCCTCCTCATGCTGCTGCCAGGTCCAGAGTGTGTCATGGGTCCCTGTACGGCCTCCCATTGCTGCTGTCTCCATCGCCACACTCTGCCATGTGCCACTTTCAGGTCTCCTCACACTGCTGGTGGTTTCCATTTTTGTCACTCATCTGCATGTCATACTGACTGTCAGTATTATTTCTCTTCCCCAGCAGACTCCAAGGGCATTTAAATTAAAGGTTACAGTGTTCTGCACTAATATAAAGGCTCTCTGAAGCCTAGAAACACCCTTTTATAAGTTAAATTCGCAGCGAATATATTCGACTCGAATCGAAATTTTTTCCACGAATTCGCCGAATCAGCCGAATCGAATTTTTGAATACTTCGCTCATCTCTAGTCTTAAACATAAAAGTATTTTTCTTTAAGTCAAAAAAAAAACAAAGCTTCCAGCAGAAAACTGACTTAACTTCAGAAAAATACAACACAAACGTCAGCTTATCTTCAGCACAAACAATATATAAGACATGCAAAGTTCGTTTAAGGGATTTACCCCCAAATGTTGGCTTCCAGCACTCATGCAGAACTTATACTCACCCAAACTTGTACTACTCCACACTCAGCACTAGGAGCTTCCTGTCTTATGTGCTGATTCCTGGAAGATGCTTACCCTGTAGGGATCAGAGTCCTTGTAATCAGGGGTGGAGTTTCTTTCCCACCCAAATATCACTCTGAACCTCCAAATTTTGGGTCCCAAATAAGAAATTACTAATGCAGAGAGGATTGTAAGTCAGTCCTCTCCCTATGCTTGACTGTCCCAGAATTACCCTCTCTTTCGAACATGGTATCTATCCAGGACCCTTTTTCAGCATCCTGTATGGTAGTATTTTCAAAACACCATATAGGCAATATAACTTATAATAATGTGGTTACATATATGTGCAAGTGTATACTGTGTATCACCCAGTGTTTTCCACTCATTTATATCCACATGCCAAAATGCCCTTATTTAACTTAGACCCTTATATATGCTTGGTTACACAGCCTGTTAAGATTTTGTAATTGCTATAAGCACCTGTATGTTTGCAACATGGATAATGATATGAATCATAATTATTGGAAAACCTCAGAATATATTTGAAGAACTGGACAGACTGAACATTGACATAATGTCAGAAATAGAAAATGAACGCAGAAAGATAAATAAAACAATCACATTTCTTGGGGCCCTAAAATGCCAAAGATGAGCTCTTGATTCAGTACAAACACAGGTTTAGACCAAACTTTGCTTCGATCAAACCCCAGACTTTTAGTTGGTTTGTTTGATTACATACAGTATATAGTAACTGTGTGTATAGTGATAGAATAGGACATGTTTGTCCGATTAAGTTTTTTTTTCTTTCAGCAACTCAGCAAGCACTGTCTATAATGATTTGTGAGGAGCTTCATTACTAGACTACCTGAATGACAATGGATTTGCATTATGGGACTTTTTTGGGGTTTTAATTTTGAATAAAGAACCTGTCAAAAAGCATTGTATGTTTATTAACTCTTTACATGTGTTGTGACTCAGTGGGGGGACTCATTCACATGGAGGGGCCAATATCATGGGGTCCCTTATTTCTAAAGAGGGGTTTCATATTCTGATAAGCCTCACTGGACCAGGTTTGTGGAAGACAGGCCCTTGTCTTTACTTGGAAACAATATGCGCTTCCAGGAGGTTCCCCATACTATTTTACTGATCTGCCAGGTCGCAAGCTATATAAGGGGTTGGTATGGATTTTGTGGCGACCCAATGTTTTTTTCTTGTTATTTCCCTATTAAAACCTGTACTAAGACTTGAAATGGTAGGTATACAATTTGGACAGCAGTTTTTTTTTTTTTTTTGCATTTTTTTGTATGTAGTCCCACATTTAAACATCTAGACTAGACTCTCATCTATGATAAGGATCTAGTATAGAGGAAGGTAATCATTGGCCACTTTTTTTTTACAGACAGAATTTAGAGCTTTCATTTACAAGCAAATTAAACAGATTTTTTTTCAGTGGTATTAGCAACAGGAATGTTGTGCACAAAGTTGCAAACTACCGTATTTTTCCGGCGTATAAGACGACTGGGCGTATAAGACGACCCCCCTACTTTTCCTGTTAAAATATAGGCGTTGGGCTATACTCGCCGTATAAGACTACCCCCCTCTACCAACCAATCACGGCAAGCGATGTACCAGTATTTTCTGTGCACACTGCATACAAAGCCTGCTTGGATTGGGTGGGTCAGCTCTCCCTGCCTGCCCAGCCCTCCCTGTCTCCAAGATGATCTGAGAACTGCCACAGTTATTAATATATAATAATTAATGTTAATTACCGTATTTCCTGCAAGGTACTGCCTAGCTGACGCTTCTGCACATGTCTTCGGCAGCAGTAGACGATCGCTGATCACCATTCCTCACAGAACTGCATGAGACGTCGGATGCAGCCGTTCAGTGCTCGATTGAGCTTGACTGAAACTGTGAT